GAAGGATGAAATGATTGTACAATTTGGATTGGGGGTGATGAGATGCAAGATATGAGGATTAAAAGGAGAAGGAGAAAGGAGGCAATTAGGAGGCTGGGTTTGACAGTTTTGTTTTGATCTACAGAAGTGTTAACAATTTAGAAAATTTAGATTGAGAAGGTGCGGTGGGAGAGGTTTGGAGAAGGGAAAAGATAAAAGATGGTATGACTTGAGGACTTGAGTAATAGAGTAATAGAAAAGTAGGTGATAAAAATAAAAATCGACGATAGAGACAGTTGCGGCGGTGAGACGGCAACAAAAATTGTGAAATTGGAGACTAGGAAAAGTTTCAAGGAAGTGGAAAAAGAGGAGGTGCAGGAGTAAAATGGAGGAGATTGAAGTGGGACAGTTGCTGAGACAGAAGGAAATTGAGGTGACTGAAGGAGGGGAGTGAGGGGTGAGGAGATAGGGCTGCAGATGAAAGGGTAAAGAGGTAATGGAAAAAAGATGATGAGGAGATGATGAGTTTAGAGGACTGGGTGGGAGAGAAAGAAAAAGAAGAAAGTAGACGAGACCAGCTCGAAGACTGAAGAAGAAGAAGAAGAAAAAGAGTAGGAGGAGGAGGAACATTGATAATCGTGGGAATGGGATGGATTTGGATGGGATGGTTGGGATGAAGGATGAGGAAAAAGTGAGGGAAATGATGGAAAGCAATGGTGAAATGGTAGGCACTAGAAATGACCGATAAGAAGATGTCTACTTTCTGTATCCACCACCACCATAGCCGCCATCGTAGCCGCCGCCGTAGCCGCCAGCGGCCACCGGGTAGGCGCCGCCCAGATCCACCGGTCCGTAGCCGCCGTCAATGGCCACTGGGTAGCCCACTGGTCCGCCGCATCCTCCGGCACATGGAGGCGGAGGAGGGGGAGGCAGGGGCACCACTGGTACAGGGGCCGGGCAGGGGGCGGGGCCGCATGGGGGCTCAACGCTGAGTGAGGGAGAAAAAGAGGGAGAAAGAAAGGTCAGAAAGTTCTTCTACGATGAAGGCGCATCGTATTTCGAAAAGCAGGACTTACTATACAGGCTGTGGCACTGGTTGCGGCACGAGGATCTCCTTCTTGATTGGAATGGGGATGGGCAGGGGCAGGGGACTGAAACGAAAGCAAAAGGTTAGGTTGTAAGCAAGCCAAAGCTATTCAAAAACTGTAGCTGCGCTTGAGACCGTTTTGCACATTTGTTCTTGTTCTACAGCAGAACACCGATAACAACAGCAAAATCAGCTCAAAAGAAGCTCGAAGCTTTTCAATTGAAGTCAGGAAGTCACTGGCAGCAGAAGACTTACATTGGCAGTGGGATGATCTTCTTCTTGTTCTTCAGCTTGAGGAGGAGCAGGCCCTTGAGGGCGGCCTTGATCTTTTGGCGCTTCTTGCGGCCCGCCTCGGCCATCTCGATGAACATGCAGCCGACGAAGGCGGCGACGAAGAGGAGGGCGAATGCCTTGTTGAACTTGTTCATTCTGAAGTGGTTGGTTGGTGCTGGTTGGTTGGGTGATAACTGAGTTGAGTTGACAAACTTCCAACAAACTGTGTCTGTAAAACAGTCCCACTGATGAGTGAATGTGCTGATGATGCTCGACTGATCACTCTCAGCGTCGGTGGACAGCGTCTTTTATACCTCGACAGAGATGAGAAGGTGAGAAGTCAAATCAAATCAAGCACATTTTTGTGCTCAAGATGCTCCGGCTGCTACTGAAGATGAGATGAGCTTCTGCTCCAAATTAAGTGTGCGCCTTTTCGCCTGCTTTCTGCGCCATTGCTCCGTGCTCGGATCCGAGGCGATGGTGATTAAAATCGGTGGTGGTGGTGGTGAACAAACACATAGCACAAATACACACACTTTCTCCCAGCTCACCACTCTCTTCACCACCACCACCATCAGCATCAGTCAATCAGCGTGACGATGTGTCGTCTGACCGTCAAAAACAAGATCACACAGAAGGCAGACTGACTGGCTGACTTTTCCTTTCACCTGTTGTCAACAAACTGTATCTAAACTGTCCAGTCGCCTTTTACTTCTTCTTCTTCTTCTTCTTCCTCTGCTTGTGACTGACTCGGATGCACAGTTTGATGGAGTGGCTTTGTACTTGTCAGCACACTGTCTTCGAAGACGACGACGGCGGCGGCGGCGGCGGCGGATGTCTTCCTCACTCCTTCAAAGGGTCAGCTCGATAAGCTGCCGCCGCCGCAGCCGAAGATGTGCTCCTGCTCTTCTGCTCCTGCCGATGTTGCGAGCCTGTTGCTGATCTTATCACTGAGGTGACTGCTCATGATGCTGCTCCCGCTCCTTTTGCTCCCGTTGCTCCTGATGATGATTACTGGCTGTTCGATCCTTATCGGAAATGGTTACTTTTTAGTCTCCACGTTGTTCCTTTTGGTTTCTTCTTCGCGGCTTCTTCTCTTCCGGCCTCTTCCGCATTGCAACTGTCGCCGCCGCCGCTGTCGTTGCTGCTTTGGCGACAAATGTTTGCACTTGGAAAAATTTTTTTACTTCATCATTATGGTAATGTCATTGCTAATTGCCTAACGTGCGATGTCGGCCACGGTGGTGGTGGTGGTGGTGGTGAGCGATCCTCAAACTTTACAACTTTTCGGACATTTCGGTGAAAAACATAAAACTTGAACTTCTGCACCATAGGAGTTCTTCACCGGGTTGAATCACGGTCGTAGGGTAATCGTTTGAGGCACCTGGTGCAGGCTGCTTCACCAAATCACACAGCCTATTTGAATGCATCCCAAGAATCACGTGAATCCCGCCGGGGGCAGCGTTGAGTGATAGCGCTCTCTGAACGTCCCACAGGAGGGTCGCTGCCGACCACCGCTGTACCACTGGGCAGTGTTGGCAGCGTCGCTGAGGCACGTGTTTTCTCTGAGTTTCGTATTTTGGTCGTTTTGTCGTTCACTTGATCGTCTTTTTTTCTTTGCATCTCATCTGGTCTTCTTCGGCTGAGCACTTCTCACTTGGTGCCCGCTCGTTCTCTTTACGTTGATACCTCGTCGTCGTCGTCGTTTGTCTTCTAGGCACATCAACCAACAAAGAAACACATCTAATCTAGATCAAGCAACTCGAATCTATCCCCANCTTTGCATCTCATCTGGTCTTCTTCGGCTGATCACTTCTCACTTTGTGCCCGCTCTTTCTCTTTACGTTGATACCTCGTCGTAGTGGTCGTCGTCGTCGTCGTTTGTCTGCTAGGCTCATCAACCAAACAACAAAGAAACACATCTAATCTAGATCAAGCAACTCGAATCTATCCCCACACTGCAATCATGGCCTATCGCGTCCAATTTGAGGGAAACAACGAGGTGGGCGTCTTCTCAAAGCTGACCAACGCCTACTGCCTGGTGGCCATCGGCGGCTCGGAGAACTTCTACTCGGTCTTCGAGAGCGAGCTGAGCGAGATCATCCCCGTGGTGCACACCTCCATCGCCGGCCTGCGCATCATCGGCCGGATGACGGTGGCCAACAGACATGGCCTCCTGGTGCCCTCCACCACCACCGACCAGGAGCTGCAGCACCTGCGAAACTCGCTGCCCGACGCGGTGCAGGTTCGGCGCGTGGAGGAGCGCCTCAGTGCGCTGGGCAATGTGATTGCCTGCAACGACTACGTCGCCCTGGTCCATCCTGATCTGGACCGCGAGACGGAGGAGATCCTCGCCGACACGCTGAAGGTGGAGGTCTTCCGGCAGTCGATTGCCAATCAGGTGCTCGCCGGCACCTACTGTCAGATTTCCAATCAAGGTAAGTGAGAAAAACTTTTCATCCTTTTCGAATCATCACTAACCTTGCTCCCTTCACTATCTTCTCAGGCGGCCTTCTGCACCCACGCATCAACGTGGAGGCGCAGGACGAGCTCAGCTCCCTCCTGCAGATTCCCCTGATCGCGGGGACGGTGAACCGCGGCAGCGAGCTGATCGGCTCCGGCCTGGTGGTCAACGACTGGACCTGCTTCTGCGGCTTCGACACCACCTCCACGGAGATCTCCGTCATTGAGAATATCTTCAAGCTGACGGAGGCGCACGGGCCGAATAAGATTCAGTCGGCGATGCGAATGTCGCTCATTGAGAGCATGACATAGGCGAGTGAGTGTGTGAGATGCTCGAGGCAGTTTCGAAGACGGCGATGATCTTTGCTGCTCTCTCTCTTCTCAGATGCTACACTCCTCCTGTACAAACAAACCGGCTACACTTCACACCACCACCACCACACTAACTCTCGCCCATGACCTCGTTCAACCGGAGCGGGCGCTCGCGCCTTCCTCGTTCGCTCCTTTTCCGTTCTCTCTTTCTCCTCAGTGTCCCCTGTCTATTTACTCCTTTTTCCTGATGTCAATCGTTCATCGAGATGATGCAGCAGCAGCAAACTGCGATGAAAATTGCAAATGTATGTACGATAGCGAGCGGCATTGCAGCCAGCAAAAAGTACGAAAAAACAAGCAACCAATAAATTGACCACAACAACAAGCAGCAGCAGCAATCACTGACAGATGATCAAAGTGCTGAGTCTTCGGTACGGTGTTGACCACTAGACTCGAGTTGACAGATCGAGTTCAAATGCAAATCGGTGCTAAAGAGAGCGCACTTGAACAAATGCTGTGAATTAGAGAACTGTGAGAATTTTAGAACTTTTCAGCTCAATGGCACGTAGACGTGTACTGCTCTTTGCTGTTTAGACTGACACTTCTTTAGGGCTTTTTCTTCAGGTCTGTACTCATTCACATTTCAGTTCCTCAACAAACAACAACCACAACACCAGAAAGAGTGATGGGAAAGTCGCACAAAACCGGCGGTGGTGGGCATCACCACTCAAAGAAGCCCGACAGTGCCAAGAAGAAGGACAAAGAGAAGGAGAAGGACAAGTCCAACAAGGAAAAGAAAGCGGCGGTGGCGGTCAAGGATGGCAAGAACAAGAACAACACCGCCGCGCTCCAGAAATCGCCTAAATCGAGCAAAAAGAAGGGCGACGGCAAGTCGGACAAGAGCAACAAGAAGCAGGGAGAGACCAATAAGAAGAGTGGCCACCACCACCACAGCAAACCAAAAAGTGGCAAGGAGAAGGAGAAGAGCGGCAAGGAGAAGACCACCACCACCAAGCACAGCAAACCACCGCCAAAGAAGGAGGACCCAGTCAGTGAGGGCAGCGAAACTTCCACTGCTGAGGAAGAAGTGGTGGTGGAAACTCCGCCTAAACCGCCAAAGATGGCCAAGGGTTCTCCGAAGAAGGCCGCTGTCGTCGTGGAGGCGACCAGCGAGGCTGGCGAGGCTAGCCTCGAGTCGAAGCAGTCCACCGGCGATGGACAACAACAACAGCAGCAGCAGCAGTCTTCAGCTGCTCCAAACACAACTTCTTCCGCCGAAGATCCCGGAACAACAGCTGCAGCGGAAAACGGCGAGAGCACTGCCGCCGCCACTTCCTCTGATGAGACTTCGGACGATGAACAACAGCAGGCAAAACCAGAGAAGAACAAGCACAAGTCAAAGCCGCCCAAGGAGAAGGAGAAGAAGCCGAAGAGCACCAAGAACTCCTCTCCGCCGAAGCTGGAGTTCACCAAGCCGACCATCAATCAGATGGTGCGCGAGGAGGAGCGCCAGAAGCACCCGAAGCCGCCGCTGGTGGACACGCCCGCTATCAGCCGCTACGAGTTTGAGGCATTCAATGATGAGGTATGTTTTACAATTTTTGTTGTGTATATCTTTGAATTTATCTAACGCAGATTTCTCTTTTTCGCAGATGGAGGAGATGAACGCCAGTCTGGCGATGCTGCGCAGCTCCTACGGCAGCATCATCACCTCGCTGGTGGCGATGTACACGAAGCGCGGCAAGCGAGGCCAGAAGGCACAGCTGCCGCCCACCGTGGACGGCAAGGCCAACCTGCTGACGCCCATCAACCCCAATGCCGACGCCGATGGAGGCCTTCAGGAGGAGGAGCAGGGCTCCATTCTGAAGAACGCCGACAAGTACAACATCGAGAACTTCATCAACCCGGCGACGCGCCAGGCCGCCTTTGACGGCCTCTTCGCCGAGGTGGAGCTGCTGAATCGGAAGACGGAGAAGTTCCGCACTGCCTTCTTCGACAAGAAGGGCTACTTTCTGCAGGAGAAGTACGACGGCCAGAAGGAGATGAAGCTGTCGCGAAAGAAGCTCAACCACTTTTGGCTTTGGGTAAGAGATGTGGGGAGGGAAATTGTGTGCTGAACTGCCTTTTCAATTTTATTCTTTCCCTTTGCAGACTCGCAAGTTGACCGAAGTGATCGACGAGATCGCCCGCAATTACAATGACGATCTGCTGAACATGTTTCGTCTGCATTGAAACTGCTGATGATTTCAGCTGCTCGTCCTCTCCTCAACTTACTCACCCGAGCTGCTTGCTGCTCCTCCAACAGTTTGTCGTTGTTTTGAAGTTTTAATTGANCGAATTCTCAATTTTTTTCCCTTTGCAGACTCGCAAGTTGACCGAAGTGATCGACGAGATCGCCCGCAATTACAATGACGATCTGCTGAACATGTTTCGTCTGCATTGAAACTGCTGATGATTTCAGCTGCTCGTCCTCTCCTCAACTTACTCACCCGAGCTGCTTGCTGCTCCTCCAACAGTTTGTCGTTGTTTTGAAGTTTTAATTGAAATTAAAATTAAACACTTTTCGCCTATCTTTTAGGAGTTTTGCCTGTTGGTGCTGCTGCTGTTTTCTCAGATTTTGAAGCTGTGGAGCTCTTTTCCTTGGTGGACTGGGTGGACTTGGTGTCACCTACTTTCTCAGCCTTCTTCTTCTTCGTTTTCTCACTATTTTCTTGGTTCTGGCAGATTTTGCCGCTGTAAGCGGTGTTTATCGAGTGGAGCTTGGCGTTGATCATCGAGCTGATGTTTTGTGCCCTTCTGTGCNCTTGGTTCTGGCAGATTTTGCCGCTGTAAGCGGTGTTTATCGAGTGGAGCTTGGCGTTGATCATCGAGCTGATGTTTTGTGCCCTTCTGTGCTTCAGTGCCACTGCAACTTTGGCTTTTTTCGGTTCAGCAGACCTGACCTTCTTTTTCTTCTTCGTCTGTTCCTTAGTTGGTGAACTTGTAGAATTTATGGCTTTTGGAGAGTAGTAGAGATTCGGATTGCGGTACGTCCACGAGTTGTGCTTGTACCGCAGCGAGGTGGGCGAGGTGAAAGGTGCAGAGGTGCCGCCGCCTCGTTTGCTTGATCGGCCACTTTTCCCTGAACCAAACTGCTTCTTGGTTCGGGCGGTTTTCGGTGAAGAACCGGTGGTAAAGGTTCCGCGTTTGAAAGCTGTCCTTTTCACCGTTCTCTTATCACTTTTGATGCTCTTGTTGCGCTGCGCCTGGTCATTGCACTTGGCGGCGTAGCTGGCGAAGCTGATTCGGCTTTTCAGATGACTTTTTGGTTT